CAAATGGTCAAAACGAACCATGCCCGCGTAATTTTGCTCGAACTCTGGCACAAGATACAAACACATGTGTAATGACTTATAAAGGAGAACTTCTTTTTCAGATATCTCACACTTTGAAAAGATTTTTCTTGCTTTATGATTCAAATAGGCTTAAAGGCCAACCACCATCAAAGGGATTTTTGATACAAGCGATCATAAAAGGCCTACGGGCTAAGATATTCTGATTTCGAGTTCGAAACAATCACTCACTCAATTATTAAAGCCTAAGGGTTATCTTACTTTGAGTTCGAGCAATCACTCACTCGGTCATAAAAAGCCTACGGGCTAAGATATTCTGAGTTCGAGTTCGAAACAATCACTCACTCAATTATTAAAGCCTAAGGGCTATCTTATTTCGAGTTAGAGCAATCACTCACTTGGTCATAAAAAGCCTACGGGCTAAGATATTCTGAGTTCGAGTTCGAAACAATCACTCACTCAATTATTAAAGCCTAAGGGCTATCTTACTTTGACTTTGAGCAATCACTCACTCGGTCATAAAAAGCCTATGGACTAAGATATTCTGAGTCCGAGTTCGAAACAATCACTCACTCAATTATTAATGCCTAAGGGCTATCTTACTTCGAGTTCGAGCAATCACTCACTCGGTCATAAAAAGCCTACGGGCTAAGATATTCTGAGTTCGAAACAATCACTCACTCAATTATTAAAGCCTAAGGGCTATCTTACTTCGACTTCGAGCAATCACTCACTCATCATAAAAAGCCTACGGGCTAAGATATTCTGAGTTCGAGTTCGAAACAATCACTCACTCAATTATTAAAGCCTAAAGGCTATCTTACTTCGAGTTCGAGCAATCACTCACTCAATTATTAAAACTTAAGGGTTATTTTACTTCGAGTCCGAGAAATCACTCACTCAATCATAAAAGTCTACGGGCTAATATACTTTGAGTTCGAGTTCGAAACAATCACTCACTCAATTATCAAAGCCAAAGGGATATCTTACTTCGTGTTCGAACATTCACTCGACTACTAAGCGTGTGGGCTACTTTTATTTTTTGAGTTCGGGCAAGCGCCCACTCGACCACTAAGCCTGTGGGCTACTTTTATTTCGAGCTCGAGATAACACTCACTCGGCCATAAAGGCTATGAAGGCCGAATTCGATGAAATCACCTAAATCCTCATGAAAACATCCGCAAGGCATGAATGAAATCTTCACGAAGCAAGTTAGTAAAAGAAAAAGATATTTGTATAGATATACAAGGATGGTTTACATAAATAAATGCGACATAGAAGAAGCTAAGGGCTAAGCTTCTGGGTTATCATCGAGAGCGGTCTCTTCTCCACCGGGCTCCCCCCATCTTCGGACCCGCTCTTGCTACCATCATCATCACCATCATCGCCATCAGAAGCCAAGGCTTCAACTTCAACTTCGAGTTCTTTAGCCCTTTTTATCTCTTCAGCAAGGTTAAAACCTCGAGCGTGTATCTCCTCGAGGGTCTCCCTCCGAGATCGACACTTAGCAAGTTCGGCAACCCAATGTGCTCGAGTGTCGGCAGTATCCGCTACCTCTATTGCCTCCATTTGAGCAGCCTCGGCATCAGCCCGATACACGGCAATGGACTTGTCCGCCATGACTTTCGACAACTCAACCTCCGCATTGGCTTCAACAAGCCGTGTTTCAAGCTCCTCGATCCTCTTGGTCTGAGTCGAACCCTTTTGCTTGACGCTTCGAAGCTGAACATCGGCCAATAATAATTTGTCCAAGATGGTTTCTTTTCCTACAGCCAGGCGGTCGATAGTCTCCTTCCACCTGTCACATTCGGCCTTGATTTGATCGACTTCTTCCCGAAGCAACCCAATCTTTTCAACCTTTTGCTGCAGCTGAAATAACGAAGGGTTAGCTTCCACAGTTGGGTCAAACCCATACTCTAACAGAATGAGGCTCACATGCTTATCTAATTCGGCCTCTTCTTCACGAGCCTTAGCCAAATCTGCTTGGAGGTCCTTTATAGCCTCGTCCTTTTGGCTGCAAAGAAGCCGCAGAACATCTCTCTCCCCCGAGACCTTCTGAAGCTCGACCTCACACTGGCTGAGGTCGACTCAAAACCTGTTAATGGCCTGCACAATAGGGAAAAAACACAAGTCAAGTTTAGAAAAGAACGAAGAAACCAAGCACAGTAAAATCATTACCCGAGAAATGAAACGTTGGGCCTCTTCTAGGAGAAGAAAAGTGTCATTAAAGTCGGAGGCATCATCGACTCCAGTAAAGCAATCCCGAAAAGGGTCCCCTACACTAGAGCCTCCGCCCATATCGGGGGTCTTCAATTCTCGAGCTTCCTTTAACGCCTCCTCAGAAAAGGTCAGAAGAGAAGGCAAATGACCCACTATCATAGTCCCAAGCGAATCGCTCGGGACGCTCTGATCGAGACTCGGGGTATCGGAACCGACCCCGACCGGTATAGCCTTCATCGGCTCAGAAGGTCTGGCGACCTCGATAGCTTTTGCAGATCGGATCACCAAAGCCGATGCATCATCTTCTTCTTCTTCTCTCAGTCATTGGACCAAGTCCGTCGAAAGAGCGATTGCCTTCCTCCTCACCCTTCGAGTTTTGGGCTTGGGGTCCTCTGACCGAGAGACAGATTTTCGCTTCTTATTTTTCCCCGGTTCCGGGACCGGGGACTTGGTTCCTTCCTCACCATTCGAAGGCCTCAAAATGGCATCCTTGGTTACACCTGCATGAAAGGAAATCGATAACGAATGGAGCAGAAAAAACATTTTGAAGAACACGAGAAGTGACCCTTACCGTGATTCTTGGCCTCCCATATACCTTTTTCCAAATCACGCCAAGCGCGTTCGGCATAAGAGGAAGTCGAGGCTAACTTCCAAACCCAATCCTCGAGGTCGGGTACCGCTTGTGGCATCCAAGAGGCAGCCATATATCAAAGAAAGATATCAGATAGAATCAGAGAAAGATACGAAAAGCAACGCCTTATGAAAATCACTTACGGTCGAAATTCCATTTCTCGGGGAACGACATCTTCTCTTCCGGAATGAGTTCACGGGTCCTCACCCGAATATAACGGCCCATCCAACCCCGATCCTTGTTTTTGTCGATGCTCGACATTAAATCTTTCGATGCCCGACGATGAAGCCTGATTAGTCCTCGAAAGATTTGAGGCCGATACAATCGTATGAGGTGATTTAGGGTGAAATCCAGCCCCCTAACCTTGTTGGAGAAGAAGCGAAGTAAGGTTAATATGCGCCATAGAGAAGGATGAATTTGACCAAGGGTGACCTGATATCTTTCGCAAAAATCTATAATCACTGGATCGACGGGACCCAACGTGAAGGGGTAAGTATAAACACTTAAAAGCCCCTCAACATGAGTGATGGCGCTCTTTTCGGGAGAGGGAATTTGCAACATAACCTCGGGACCCCAGTTGTAGTCTTTCCTCACAGCTTCGAGATGGCCCTCTATTATCGAGCATATGTACATCGACAAATGCTCACACCGACCCGGAACCGACGAAGGATTTTCAACCTTAAAATCGATCTTTAGAGTACACGGTCCAGGAACATACTCATGGGGAGGCGGCTCCACCGGCGCCTTATCGCCGGACGGCCGTGAAGAGGAAGCTTTCTCCTTCTGAGGTACGGTTTTTGAAGTTTTTGCCATTGATGTAAGAGAAAGAAAAGCAAAGAAGAATGAAAGGTTGATGATGCCAAACGCTGATGAAGGTGGCTCTACAAGTGGCGAAATAGAGGCAGAAAGAGTAAGAAAATTTGGGAGATTAAAGATGTAAAAGTGGTAAATGATAAATGGAAGGACTATTTATAGGTTTATACTGTGGCGGTTCAGTATCAGCGGTGGTCGACCACCGTCTGACGTGTATTAAATACCTTGAAAGACTAAATCGACGGGACAGTTATCACATACGTCACGATCGAGCCCAGTGAAAACGTCAGCTTATAATCAGATCGATCTGTCGAAAATCATATTGCTTCTCACCACATTCTTCCTCCTAAGAAACGAGGGGACTATTTGTATACGGTCGAAATAGATTTCGGCCTTCGTACGTTTGATCGAGTTCGATGGTAAGCGATCGAAGTAAGAGCTCGAGACGAGTTCCGAGGATAGTACAATCAAGCCTCGAGCTCCAAGACCGATCGAGGAATCGGCTCGGTATCATTATCAAGCCCGTGGCGAAATCAAACCGTAAGGTGAAGAGAAGGTTTTCGGAGATGCACAGACCGATTGACACTCACCCCGAATGTCGAACTCGAACTCAAGGTCGAGGGCTCGACCCAATACCGAGCTCGAGCAAACATCGAGCTCGCAGACAGGAGTCGTTGCAACCGCACTAGGGGAGAGAATCTAGGCAGGGATCGAGGAAGAGACAATTTATCATGGATTCTCTACTATATATTTTTTATTATAAATAAAGTAAGATCCCTCTACTATAAAGGGGGGAATCCTTGTAAGGACAAGCAGGTTCAGACATTGTAAGAAAAGACTACTTCTATTTATTGAAGAATAAATCTCTTAAGCTTGTTTTACTCAGCATACTCACTCTTCTAGTTCAATAATTTATATCCCATTTCTATAGCCAAGAATCTAAATATTTCCATTTCTACGTACGATTTATGTCAAGCTATATCACATATCCTTAGAACTACTTATAAATTCAACTATATCCAATTTTACGGATAAACAGTTCTATTTGAGCATTACAAGAAATGTACAATCCTTTGATCAGCTGTGAAGGACTAGGTACAACATCTTAATATGAAACTAAAAGTCTGTTGTAAAAACTATAGCAAGACTTTTGTAGGAAGAAAACCATAGCACCACTCCTTCGGGGCGCCTAGATAGTGAAAAGCCAAGAAATGTGGCCTTTGGTTGAGGCTCATGATTACTAGAGGGCTTAGAGGAAAGTACTTAAAACTCATTGGCCGACTAATCTGCATTAACCAATATTTAAGTCATTACAAGACTAATGGAAGTTGACTTTGGCTTGGTAAGACATGCCTACATGCCAATTAGAAGGTGCAACATTGTAAGCTATAATGGTCTCATGATTTGTGTAGGAAGTGAGCTTGAAAGAAAGAGATTGTCCTGTAAGTGTTGCAAATGCTTGGTATGATACTCCCCAATTATGACTCATCTTCATCCGCCCTGTTTTGCTTCCCTTCACCCACATGCTTGCCACTTCACCCCCTCCGACGACGTTCATCACATATACCAATAACCAATAACTGTTTCCTTGGAATGCGAACCGGATCCCGCCTTTCTTAATGCAAGGTACCCTGCAATTACAAAGAAGTAACACCACATTAGAGATGCAAGAAATGATACAAGATTAGCTTAAATTGGATGCACAAAGTTCATATATAAAATAATTTCTTAAAGTTATATGACTCGAACCTTCAACCTACTGGGTTGATGATGGACATGTTCTATTACTAGAGCTACTCGTGCTTAAATTGATTCTTAACTCTTGATTTAGAGTTTCTTTTATATACTATTCAGTGTAATTTTACGTGTCGTAAGAGACATACCTGCGATACATAATGGGGACAATCACTACTAAAAAATGGTGTAATTCCGTCCGCTATTTCCGACCGAAATCGGTCGAAAATTGATAATTTCCGACTGATTTAAATTGGTCGGGAAAACGATGGTCGCAAACGTGTACCGACCGAAATCGGTCGGAAATTTTAAAGCGTTGACTAACAGTCAAACTTTAATTTCCGACCGAAATCTGTCGGAAACTATTAAATTTTTTTTTAATTTTCAATTTTTCGACCGAAATCGGTCAGAAACTTTTAAATTTTTTATTATTATTATTTTCAATTTCCGACCGAATTCGGTCGGATATTTATAAAAATAATAATTTTATTTAATTAAATAATTAATTATAAATTGTAATAAATTATTAATTTATGTAAAAAAATATATATATAAATTCATAATTTCCGACCGAATTTGGTCGGAAATTTCAAAAAAATGGAGATTTTATTTTAAATTTTCGACCAAATTCGGTCGGAAATTTTGAATTTCTGAAAAATAAAAATAAGATTTCCAGTCGGTTATCAAACAGCACAAACCAAAACAGAAAATTAATAAATCGAACCGTACCAAATTTATTTCGATATGATATTAGTAAACATTTTTAAAACCAAAACCGAAAATACAATCTTTCAAAATCGTACCAAACCGATCAATGACCTCCCCTAGCGCCTTAGGAATGCTACAGTCGCTACACGTGAGCCTACAGACGCTCCGAAACAGAAGGTAGGACAGGTATGAACATGATCAAGATAGCGGAATGGAGGAGAATCTACTGAAGCTTCTCGGTCTCCAACTGCTCCTGGTCCGTTAATATTTTCACTTACTGGTGCATATGTTCTAGGATGGTACTGCCTCCACTTACATACTTAAGAGTCCATCACTGAAATAAAATTAAACATCACCTTCAGAATACCATTTACTAGGCTGCACAAAGCGATTCCATTTAATACAATAGAACAGGCTGGGGTACACATAAAAAGATGGGCTATTGAGGAGTGGGGTATTATAGGGACAATGTAACATTCATAAAAAGCACCATTTCAAGCAGAATGCACATAGTCATGGACAGAACAAAGATCGCATATTTACTCAGTTATGTGGGATTGCATTTCATCCACAAAAAAGTGCTCTAAATAGATTAAAATTTTAAATGGTGTTAATATGTTTTCACTCCAGAAACTACCATAATCACCATATATCTTACATTTCCTGATTTCTCCACATAGTCATGGACAGAACAAAAGTAAAAATTACCGACAAAAAAACAAGCAAAAAGGTTGCAAAAACTATCATATATGAAGGAAAAACGGATATTACTAGAATACTATATGAAGGACTTAATAGGAATTATGCACCCCATAAAAGTCCCCTTTTATGCTAATGTCAATTTAGAATAACATTTTCCTTTGCATAAAAAGGAAGTTAGAACGTCTCACAGTCATATTTTACCAAATTTCTATATTTGCAATAAAAATTTGAGTTTTCAAACAAATAGAAGTCACTTAAGGAACGTAAATCAGTAGCTAAATGGTAAATCTATGACACAAAATATTACCTTATGTATATAGCATCCTTGTATTGACAATGTCTTCCTATAGATGGTGTTACTATGTGTGTGCATGTATGTTCTTGAAACATTAATTGTTCTTTTATTCTTTCAAGCTGAGGAAACAAATCATATCAAAAGATTACATTCTCAGTAATTATTGATCAGCTAGCATTTTGCTTTTCTTCTAATATTCCAAACTAATTTGATATTTTTACATGTGCCGGTTTTAGAATAATATCATAATCAATTTATGAAACTAATTAAAAGCTTAAATCTTTGTAAAGCCAATCAACTATGATCTTAAAATAGAATTGAAAGAATATCGGAAGCGGGACTACGGGAGAACTTCAATTAGCTCTTGTATACACTAGCACATCCAAAATTTAGATATGGTGAATTTTGAGTTGAGAGAGCAAATTTTGAAATGTACATACAATAAATTTTTTTCTCACTTGTGTGTTTAGGGTTTCATATTACTGTCAGTGCCATAACCAGAAGTAAGCTTAAAAGAACAAGTCTATGAGCAACTTCAGATAACATGTACTACTACTCCTGCATTTTGACCAGTGTTTAAAAAAGCGCCCGCTTCATCGCTTTAAGCGAGAAGTGAGGCGAAGCGTGAAAGGCAGCGCTTCAGCAAGATGAAGCGACTCAGGTCAGTAAAAGCGACCGCTTCTCTGTAAAAAGCGAGAAGCGGGTAAAGCGAAGCGAAGAGATGAAGCGTTCGCTTCTCTATATTAAAATACCCAACCCTATTTTATTAAAAACAAGTTTTTTGGATTAAACACTGCTCTGGACTTCTTCAACAGCAGCGACTAGCGTTCTTCAACTTCCAACAGCAATGACTTCTTCTTCATCTACTTCTGATTTCTGAAAGAATCTCAAATCATCAAAAAAGGTTGTTTTTCTTCTTCAACTTCAAGACTTCAAGACTTCAACAGGTATGTTCTGAACTACTACTACTTCTTCTTCTTCTTCTTCTTCTTCTTCTTATTCTTTTTCCTTTTCTTTCTAAACGTCCAAAAAGCGGCGAAATGCTGGCGAATTTTTTCCAGAATTTTACTGCCCAATTTTTCTAGAATTTTACTGCCCAATTTTTCAGTTATTAACAGAGAATTCCTCTGATTTTTTATATCCTTTATTCTTAGTTCTTATTGCCTTTCTTATGTGTTATGTAGTTGTTCTTTTAATGGCGCCAAAAGAAGATAGGAAAGACCCGGCTTGGGCTTACTCTGAAAGAGTTTGCGAGACCAATAAGATGGCAATTAGATGTATTTTTTGTGACAAGATTTCAAATGGAGGAATCTATCGTCAAAAAGCGCATCTAATCGGTGGTGATCCAAATGTGGCATCTTGTCCTAAGTTCTATCGCATGTGAGGGAAGATTTGAAAGCATTCCTTCATAAAAAGAGAGAGTTAAAGACTCAAATGATTCATGAACAAGAACTGTATAATCTTTGATGACGATGATGAAACGGAAGAAGGTGACGATGCTTTGTCGCTTCCACCAAAATTACAAAAGCGGGGAAGGATGCAACCAATGTCTTCTAGTTGTGGATCTACTGGCAAGACCAAAGGTCCTATGGATTGTTACTTCTCGCAAAAATCTGGCGATAAGGAAGGAAAAAGTGGTAATCCTCAAATTGATGCCAAAGCGATTTTGAGGGATCGTGCAATTACAATGTTTGCGCGGTGGATGTATGATGCAGGTCTTCCTTTTAATTGTGTTAATTATATCGACATTTTTTCTGCTTTTATTGAGGCCGTAGGCCAATATGGACCAGGAATGAAGCCTCCAACATATCATGAAGTTAGAGGGCCATATCTAAAAAAAGAGGTGGCAGAGGTGAACAAAATCATGGAGGAGCACAAAGTAGAATGGAACAAGTTTGGTTGTTCCATTATGATGGATAAGTGGACGGCNACATACATAGATATAGGACATAGTGTCCATATAAAAGTAATTTTAAAACACACACACACACACAAATATATATATATCAAATAAGTATTAAATATTTTTTATTTAAAAGCTATTTATTATTTACACACACACACACAAATATTAATAAATTTATATTTTAATTATTTTAAAATCGTTTTCCCGACCGAAATTGGTCGGAACTATTGAATTATAAATTATTTCGGTTGGTTAATTAAATATATATAATTGTTTTCTTGGGAGGGAATTAATTATTTCAAACTTTCCAACCGATTGCGGTCGGATATTTGGAAATATTTTAATAAATAATTATTTTTATACATTATATACAAGTATGACCAAATATTTGATCAATTTTCGACCGAATCCGGTCGGAAATTTGAAAATATTTTAATAAATAATTATTTTTGTACATTATATACAAGTATGACCAAATATTTAACCAATTTCCAACTGAATTCGGTCAGAAATTTGAAAATATTTTAATAAATATTTATTTTTGTATATTATATACAAGTATGACCAAATATTTGACCAATTTCCGACCGAATTCGGTCAAAAATTTGAAAATATTTTAATAAATAATTATTTTTGTATATTATATACAAGTATGACCAAATATTTGACCAATTTCCGACCGAATTCGGTCAAAAATTTGAAAATATTTTAATAAATAATTATTTTTGTATATTATATACAAGTATGACCAAATATTTAACCAATTTCTAACTGAATTCGGTCAGAAATTTGAAAATGTTTTAATAAATAATTATTTTTGTACATTATATACAAGTATGACCAAATATTTGACCAATTTCCGACCGAATTCGGTCAAAAATTTGAAAATACTTTAATAAATATTTATTTTTGTACATTATATACAAGCATGACCAAATATTTGACCAATTTCCAACCGAAATCGGTCGAAATATTTATTTTTTTGCTGTCAGAAAATTTTTGTTGACTTTTGCGACCAAATACTCTTATTTTCGAGCAATTTCGGTCGATTTTTTTTCCGGCCGATTTCGGTCGAAAAGCCTTGGACGGAAATCACCTGATTTCTAGTAGTGAATGCCAGCTTTCCATTGGGCAATCTTCATGAAAGTAGGTTTAGCCATGTCAAAGTGCTGACGTGGTGGGTTGCACCAGCCACCATGGTTGGAGTTTTGGGCCCAATTGGGTGGGCAGAGATTTGTGGTTGTAATTGTCACGACCCAATTTCACCTATACGTCGTGATGGTGCCCAACACTACAGTTAGGCAAGCCAACTAATAAGTCAATCGTACATTGGTTAAACTTTTATTCCAAGAAAATAATAAAATACCAACTTCTATCAATGTGTGCCAAGACCCGGTGTCACAAATGCATGAGCATCTAGTAGATTATACAAAACTCTAAATACTGTCTGAAATAAAATAGACAGAATATAAATATAAGAAGAGACACTGGTAGCTGCAGAACGGCTCAGAAATGTAGCTCACCACTATGCCTCGGGATGACGTGGGTATGTGATGATAGGTCCTCCACTAGTACTTGTCTTAGATCCTGCACAAAAAGTGCAGCAAGTGTAGTATGAGTACATAAACAACGTGTACCCAGTAAGTATCAAGCCTAATCTCGAAGTGGTAGAGACGGGGTGGCCGACTTTGACACTCACTATGGGTCAATAATAATAACTGAAATAAAACTCGGATATTTAAATCAGCATGATTTACAAAATAATTACAATAATTTATTTAATCAGCGGAAATAATTAAATTCCTTCAAATGTAACAATTCTCAATATATTAATTAAATTCTCTCAATTCAAATAATTTCTAATTTATTAATTAAATCTCATTTACAGGAGTAACAATTAATTCTTAAACAAGCAAGAATAATAATTCATTA